ATTTTTGCAAATTCCAGTCTAGGAAAAGCACTTCAACAAAACAGTTTGTCAATTCCACAAAATGCTGCTTTGCCAAATACAGCAACTGAAGCTCCATTTGTAATTGTAAGGGACGAGGCCTTTCCCCTGAAAACTTATTTAATGCGACCATATCCCGGAAAAGATTTAGATGGTCTTAAACGCATTTTCAATTATCGTTTATGTCGTGCCAGAAGGATTGTTGAAAACGCATTTGGCATTTTGACACAAAAATTCCGAATTTATAACAGACGAATTCAGGCTAAAGCAGAAAATGTTGATTACGTAATACTTACAACATGTATACTATATAATTTCATTAAAAAAATTGATACGAACACCTACAAACATGACATTACAAGTACCACCGTAGCGGAAGAAACTAAGCTTGAAAAGTTGCCAATGCAAGGTGGAAATACTACGAGAGATGCTTTTCGGGCAAGGGAACTCTTCAAAGATTTCTTCAACGCAGAGGCTGGGTCGGTACCGTGGCAAAATGACAGAATTTAAAAGAAATAGTATGCCAGTTATGTTATGCGTGTAAATTTTATAATTATGTACCTATTATTTAACTAAATAAATCTACTTACCATCAAATTACATTTTTTTATTTTCTTCAAAGTACTATCTATATAATTTGTGTAAGGTTAAATAAAATAATATTTTACTACAAAATATATTTATTATATTATTTATTGTATGATTATATAATTGTGGATAATAACTGGAGTAAAAGTTATGCATTGTAGGCTGGGATTGTTGATAATCGGCTGCATTAATATCCATGATAGGTGAAGGCATTGGGGTAGAAGTTGATGATGATAGATTTGATTGTTGCAGCATTTGTAATTCGTATTTTTGTGTTGTTGCAAATATATCAGTCTTCGCTAAATGTAATAAATATGGGGGGAGTGTTTTTAAGGTTGCCCTTATCCCCATCAAAAATCCATCGACCGCATCTATGTTTTTGTTGCTGGATTGAGTTTCTTTTTTTTGTTGTAACAAGTAATCCATTAATTTCGATGAGGCTGTTTGTTACGCTACCGGCACAGAGGTTTTCTTTTTACGTGCTTTAATTGCAATTATCTTGTTTTTGTTGTTCTCATGTGGAACCTGGGAAAGCTGGTTTGGCAAGTCTGGATTTGACTGGTTTGGGTCAACTGCATCATCAGTTTCTATGGGTAATTCGGGGTTACCATCATTTTCTTCTATATTTTCAACTTCACTATTTAGATCATCTTCATCTGCAATTTCTTCATTTTGACTGTTAATATTTCCTTTGGTTCTTCTCTCTTCGAAAAATTTTTTTACGAATCCCATTTGCGACGCATATTTATAAGGTTTAATTTTTTTGCACTAGCACCACTTTGTTGTACTGTTTTTTTTAATGACTTTCTATAATTGTCTCTTATGTTATTCCACCTAGTTTTACAAGATGGCCCTAAATAAAAAAATTTAGATAAAATTAATATTAAAAATAAGATTTAAAACAAGTACTGTTGTTCAGTACGCTACATACTCAAAAACAAATTCTACTTACAATCTTCTTTTAGTTGTTTTGCTATTTCCTTCCAAATACCATTTTTGTAGTTAATGTCATTGTACTTTGCGTGAGACAAATCGTACAAAACCGGATAATCTCTCACCATCTCAATTAATTTTTCGTCGTTCATTTTTCACACAGTTTACGTTTACGCTGATTAACAACAAAATCTTGTTTTGCGTTTCAATAACTTTATTATTAAACTTAATTTATATGATATATATATATATATATATATATATATATATATATA